CGACTTGAAGCCGAACGGCGGTGGGAGCTGGTGGTAGTCGTTGTCCTTCCACGCCGCCTTGTATTCCTCGTCCAGTTCGGGGGGGATCGGGCCTGCGTAACCAGTGATGAAATCGATGTAGTGAACGAGAGGGTTCTCGTTCTCCCCGACGTCGTTGGTGAGTGCAAGGAATGGCTCCAATTCGCCCTCGGGGAGAACGGCTGTCGCCTTGGGGGCAGGCAGAGGGCGGCAGAACCAACCCTCGGTCGCCGTCTTCGGGCCCTCGCACGCGGACACGCCACGCCCTGGAGCGACGCGGCAAGTTAGCCAGAGGGCGCAAACGCGTTGCTGATCTTGAGCCCAAAACAGCTACGATCTGAAGAATGCCGCATAACGCACACCGCTGCGCGAACGGTTCCTTGCGCCCGCTTGCACGGCGGCAGCCAAGTGCACATGAGAGGCGTCAACACCACAACGAGCGTCGCATCTCGCATCGGCCGTGCGCACCGCAATACCACTGTCACACTCAGCGCCTCCTTGCACCACAAAACCCCCACACACACACACACACACACACACACACACACACACACACACACACACACACACACACACACACACACACACACACACACACACACACACACACACACACACACACACACACCCACACACACACCCACACACACACACACACACACACACACACACACACACACACACACACACACACACACACACACACACACACACACACACACACACACACACACACACACACACACACACACACACACACACACACACACACACACACACACCACCACACACACGCACGCACGCACGCACGCACGCACACACACACACACACACACACACACACACACACACATACACACACACACACCCACAAACACACGCACACACACACACACACACACACACACACACACACACACACACACACACACACACACACACACCGCAGCGCCTGCGTGCACACACACACACACACACACACACACACACACACACACACACACACACACACACACACACCGCAGCGCCTGCGTGCACCACGGGGCCCGTGCGCTTTCAGTCCAGCAGCTGGCTCCCAGCACCTCAAGGTGCGCGACCGAACGCGTGCAGCTACGTGGCGCTGTTTTCGGGCGATTTGCGGGTAACACATTTTTTGGGTTACCCAACTAGTGATTGCCTGCGTGGCGTCGTTGCCGCCGCCTTCGGTCCTGAGCGTTCATGCGGTAAAGAGGGGCATCAAAAAATGATGCCCCTCGGCCATGACCACATTCCCCCGTTTCACCCCTTTGCCCTTTCTTTCGCACGGAAGACATCCGAGAAATTGCTGGTTCCGTTGTGGGTATTGCTGTGGTTCCGTGAAGGGAACTATTTGCCCCTTCCTGGGTTCCCTCCTGAGTCCCCTCCTGGGTTCCTTTTCTGGGTTCCCCTCCTGGGATCCTTCCTGGGTCCCTTTCGGAGATCCCTTGTGCCCCCTCCTGGGTCCCTCCTGGGCCCCCTCCTAGGTCCCTCCTGGGTCCCTCCTGGGTCCCCTCCCTTTCTGGGTTCCCTCCTGGGTCCCTCCTGGGTTCACCTCCTGAGTTCCTTATTGGGTCCCTTCCTGGGTTCCCTGGTGGGTCTCCTCATGGGTTCCCTCCTGGGTTCCTTTGATGGGTGATCCTCTTCGTCCTCCTCTTCCCTTGCCCCCCCCCTTCCCCCCCCCCCCCCCCCCCCCCTCCCCACCACCCCCCTCTCCCCCCGCGCCCTCCTGCCCCTCTCCGCCCGCCGTCCGCCCCCAAAGAAGGACGCGGGCAGCGAAAAAAATAAAAACCACAAACACCAAAGAAATCAAAGACCGTCGGCTGGAAAACCAAAAGAACGCAAGGAAAAACCAAAAACAACATAAACAAACCAAAAAATCAAGATGCATTGTGAAGGAGCGCCCTCCTGCCCCTCTCCGCCCGCCGTCCGCCCCCAAAGAAGGACGCGGGCAGCGAAAAAAATAAAAACCACAAACACCAAAGAAATCAAAGACCGTCGGCTGGAAAACCAAAAGAACGCAAGGAAAAACCAAAAACAACATAAACAAACCAAAAAATCAAGATGCATTGTGAAGGAGGGCGGTGGATGGGGGGTGGGGGTGGTGGCGGTGGGCGAAGTCTATATATACACGGTGTGTTTTTGTTTTTCAAGCCGTCGGTCGTTGACTTCTTTGGTTCGTTTGGTTTTTCCTTGTGCTTTTGTTTTTTTCTTTCGCTTCCCACATCCCTGTGTGGCGCTTTCCAATAGAATCACTTCGTTGCGGTTTCCGAATGATTCCTGCTGCGGGGCTTTCCATTGAAATCCCTCTGGAATGCTTTCAAAAGGGGCCCCGTTGTGAGGCTTTCCAATGGAATCCTTTTGTGGCGACGACGACGAGGACGACGAGGACGACGACGACGGCGACGAGGAGGGCGACGAGAAAGAGGAGTGAAGAAGAGAGGTATCGGGGCCCCCCTTTGAGTTGACCCCGACACCCTCCCTCGTCGACGTCGATGCGAAGCAGGGCGGCTCTCGTTTTCGCGACGGGGATGCGAGGCGGGAATGCGATCATCGTTGATCAAGAGCTGAGCGCATGCAGGCCCTTTATAAGAGAGCAGGCCACCTGTCGAGTCGCGGCGTGCCCTAGCGCCGCCATGGAGAGCATCGTTCGTAGCCGCAGGGTCAGTGCTGCTTGTGGATCACCTGCCAGTTCCCTTTCCCGAACAGTTGCCACGGGTCGCAGGAATCGGGGAAAAACTTCGTGAACTCCCCCATGGCATTCAGGATCGGGGTCAAGCCAGGCGTGTTCTCGTAGAAGAGCTGGGACTGCGTGCGCATGCTCTCGTTGCGCTTCCCCAGGTAGCTGCGCTTGTGCACGCTGCCCTTCGCGACGCCGATATTGGCCTCTGCCATGTTGGTCGAGGACCGCGTCAGGAGGTAGGACGTCTTGGAGCCCCTCGTGCTCTTGGCGCTCTTCATGGGGCCCTTGGTGCGCTTGGCGGCCTCGGAGCTCTTCGCAGTCTTCATGGGGCCCTTCTTGCTCTTCATGGGGCCCTTGGCGCACTTGGCGGCCGTGGAGTTCCCCCTGTTCTTCCTCATCTGCGCATGGCGCTTGGCGGCCATCTTGGTCAGGGCCGCCCCCGAGCTCTCGATCCCGATCTTCTCGGTCTTGGCGAACTGCTTAGCGCTGCGCTTGGTCCTCGTGCGCAGGATGCCAGCGGCCTGTGCCTTCTTCTTCTAGATATGCGCGCCATCGGTGTTAAGCAGGCAGCGCTCCCGATCAATCTTTGCCATGGCAGGGGCGACGTCCTCGGCGCCCTCGGGCGGAGGCGGCGCGCCCTTCTGCACGGCCGCGCCCTTCGCAGGGAAGACCACGCGCGTGCCAGTCGCGCGATCCACAACCATGATCCCGCGGCCCACGTGCACGCTCTGGGTGGCGCTGCCAGCGCGGCGGACCGAGCAGGCGAATGCGTCTATCTCCACCTCGCCAGCGGAATGCTCGAAGTTGTCGGCAGCTTGCATAGACTTCCACGCAGCGGCCTCCGCGACGCGCGGCATGAGCAGCTCGACCTTCTTCCTGGACGCGCCAGTCACGCGGTGAGTCTGCGCCTGGTCGAGCCCGCAACCAGTCGCCCAGATGCAGCCGTAGTAGTCCGCGGTCGTCAGGCTCGTGTTCAGCAGCGGTGTAAATGCCTACGCGCTCATGGTGCAACGGCACGATTTGACCCAGCATCTGAAGTCGCCGTTCTCCTGCTCAACCATGTCGTTTCCGCGCTTCCAGCACGTGCGGTCGGTCTTGGGCGGGATGCACCCAGCCTCGCGCAAAGCACGGCCCACGTCCGCGTCGCTCATCACCGCCGCTTCGGCAAACGAGGGCATCTCCACGGAGAAAAGTTTGCTCTTGTGCGAGGTCGACACCAAGCGACCACCCTCCGGCACCGCAGGCGGCAAGTAGGGCACGCTGGGCGCCTTCTTCTTGGGGGCCGCGGACGGCCTCTGCATGGGGGCTGCGGACGGCTTCCGCATGGTGGGCGCGGCGGCGGGCCTCTTGCGCAGCGCCTCCTTGCCCGCCCTGCACGCGCCCCTGCGCTTGGGCCGGGGCCCGTTTCCCATGGCGGCAGCGCGCGTCGCGCCCAGGGGCGGCTTGAGGTGGTGGACGAAAAAGATGTTCAAACAGGTGAGCCAAAATGCCGCGGGCAATCGCACTTGCAACGGCGCGCGGGCGCTGCGCATAACAACCGCTGGCAATGGCGGCAGCGGCGGCTGGTTCGAACATGTCCATGGATGCGCGAGCAGGCGGGAAGGACGAGGGCGAAGCAAGAGGGGCAGCGACCAGCGCAACGGCGACGTCGGCGGCGACGATGACGACGACGACAACGACGACGGAACAGGGGGCCAAAACGACTGGGCGACATTTTTCCGCTTCAGACAGGCACAATGGAAATGCATGGGTGTGCGCGTGTGAGTCCAGAAACCGATATGTTCATAAGCGACCTGCTGAGGGGCACTGAGGGCCCATCTGGGGCGCGGCGGCATTCGCCCCCATCCGAGCGCGAGCGCGGCCGTCCGCTCACGAAGGAGTCGCCCCGAGGAAGTCCGCTGCGCCCGCCTCCTCATCCAGGTCAGGGCCAATGCCATCTGCGCCCGACATCTGCGAGAGGTCGGCCTCAAGCTCGCCGCGGGCTGGGGCGGCGGGAGCAGACGACGAAGACGCCGCCACAGCCTGCCGCTTCGCGGGGGAAGGTGAGCTGTCGATATCGAGCGCCCCCGAGAAGGAAGCCAACGTCCTGAACCTCCTTGTCTCGGGACTCCACTTCCCGCTTCGCCGCGATCTGGGCGCGCGGAGGGGCGGCCGTCGCCTTTGCCCTGGCTTTGAAGGCGTTGCCCACGGAGGTCTGCTCCTTCCGCAACAACTCTTCAATGTTTGGCGGCTCCGTGAGACCTCCCGTCTTCCACAGCCCGTGCAGCCGCTTGCCCTCTGCGGTTGAGTACTCGTCAAGGCCGCAGATCGACTTGCGCTGGACGTCGGCCTCTTGGGTCCCTGGGGCGCGCCAGTGCGCGTGATCCTTCGTGTTCACCAGGACCCCTCGCGCCTCGTGAACGCCATGGCGCAAGCGCGGAGGCTTTCTCGTGGAAGGCTGGTCTGACGAGGTTGAAGAAGTCGTCGAACTTCAAGGAAGGCCAACAGTCATTATTCACCGCACTGGGGTCGTATATCTAGTCGCCGATGGCACGCTGCTCGCCCTTGACCCACTTGGTGGCCCCCCAACGCGCCCAGCGCATGGACTCGAACTGGCCGACGACCATCAGTGCCTTGACCATTTTAGACGGCAGCTGGTTGAGGGATCCATCATCCAAGAAGTCGCCCATGGTGAGAGAACCGGGCTCCCCCCGCAAGAAGTCGATCTCGGGAGTCACACGGGCGCTCGCGGTCGCGGGGTGCAACCCGTGGACGCGGGCGCTTCGGCGGCAGAGCGCGAAGAGATACGAACGGCCCAGGGGTGTCTTCCCGAAATTCGGCTCTCAAATGAGCACGACGGAGCCGGGCGGGTCCATGATCTCCGACATCACGTTGAGCACCCACGGCTTGAAGTGCTCCTCCGTCAGAGTGATGTGCCACTCGAACTCCTTCTTCGCAAGCGCGCCCTCCGACGCGAGGCCGCTCAGAGCCTTCGCAACCAGGGCGACGGGCCAGCCGTGGAGGGGGGCGCCTTTGCGCAGTGCTTCGTCTGCCATACTAGCTGCTTGAGATCGGCCGTGGAACGAGGCGCGTTCTTCAGGATGCACTCGAAGCCCGCGTTGATATCCTCGTCCGAGAGCTCGTAGACTTCGTTCACCTCGGCAGCCGTCTCGACGTCAGGCCACAAGAAAAAACCTGAAATTGTTTCCCGCCAAAGCGCTCGAAGGCGCACTGCCAGACCTTGACCGCCACCTTGCGCGACCGAACGAGAAAGTGCTGGGCGGCAGCGGCGACCAAGTAGGTTGTCAGTTTCCCTGGGCGCGGGAAAACATCCCAACCCTGAGCCGCAACGCCTTCGCCTTTTTCGCCTGGTCGCGCACCTTGGGGTGCTGGAACACGAGCTTCTTCGCGCCCCCGAGCGCCATGCTGGCGAATGTGGCAGCCTTCGCCTTGTTGGGCAGGATGCAATGCTTGATGATGTTCTTCGCGCCGTCGGGGCCGTCGAAGATGCACATCTGCATGGTCATGTGGCTGGGTGGCGCCGACTTGATGCCGAAAGGCGGTGGGAGCTGGTGGTAGTCGTTGTCCTTCCACGCCGCCTTGTATTTCTCGTCCAGTTCGGGGGGAATCGGGTCTGCGTAACCAGTGATGGAATCGATGTAGTGAACGAGAGGGTTCTAGTTCTCCCCGGCGTCGTTGGTGAGTTCAAGGTATGGCTCCAATTCGCCCTTGGGGAGAGCGGCTGTCACCATGGGGGCAGGCAGAGGGCGGCAGAACCAACCCTCGGTCGCCGTCTTCAGGTCCTCGCACGCGGACATGTCACGCCCTGGAGCGACGCGGCAAGTTAGCCAGAGGGCGCAAACGCGTTGCTGATCTTGAGCCCAAAACAGCTACGATCTGAGAAATGCCGCATACCGCACACCGCTGCGCGAACGGCCCCTTGCGCCCGCTTGCGCGGCAGCGGCCAAGTGCACATGAGAGACGTCAACGCCACAACGAATGTCGCATCTCGCATCGGCCGTGCGCGCCGCAATACCACTGTCACACTCAGCGCCTCCTTGCACCACAAAACCAAGCACCGCAGCGCCTGTGTGCACCACAGGGCCCGTACGCTTTCAGTCCAGCAGCTGGCTTCCAGCACCCCAAGGTGCGCGACCGAACGCGTGCAGCTACGTGGCGCTGTTTTCGGGCGATTTGTGGGTAGTCCATTTTTTGGGTCACCCAACTGGTGGTTGCCTGCGTGGCGTCCTTGCCGCCGCCTTCGGTCCTGCGCGTTCTTGCGGTAGAGAGTGGCATCAAAAAATGGACGCCCCTCGGCCATGACCATTTTCCCCCGTTTCACCCCGTTGCCCTTTTTTCTTTCGCACGGAAGACATCCGAGACATTGGTGGTTCCGTTGTGGATATTGGTGTGGTTCCGTGGAGGGAACCAGGTGCCCCTTCCTGGGTTCCCTCCTGAGTCTCCTCCTGGGTCCCTTTCTGTGTTCCCCTCCTGGGTTCCCTCCTGGGTCCCTTTCTGAGTTCCCTCCCGAGTCCCCTCCTGGGTCCCTCCTGGGTCCCCTGGGTCCCCTCCTGGGTCGCCAACCAGCTGTATCGACGGCCCCAGGCTTTGCAAGTAATGGGCCCCGTGTCGACCGTCGGCCACGGGGATGGCCTCGGAGGCGCTGGCTGGAGGGTCGGTGCCGATCGCAAACGCGCGCCCGTCTGCGGCCCGCGCGCGCGCGCGCGCGCTCCGGTGTGAACTCCTGACCCTCGATGCTGCGAGGAGGCTCGGGATAACCTCCACCGTCCGCTCGGGGAGGCGTCGTGGAACTCTTCTCGGGAGGAGGCTGGTCATCGACTGCGGGCGCTCCCTCAGCAGCAATCCCACCTGTCGCCGCGATGCTGTTGCCAGGGGGGGAGCAATGGGCTATGACCTCGCAGCTGAAGGCTGCTCCTCTCTGTCTGGAAGGGCGTGCCTCTCTGTGGCCACTGCTGCCAGGCCCAGCCGACTCTTGCTCCCTTCCTCCTGGCTGAAGGCCAGTATCTTCTGTGAGGAGAGCAGCGCGGAGGTTGGGCACGGCTCTGGTGTCAGCGCCCGTGCCTTCAGGGAGAGGGGTGGCGGAGTCAAGGCGAAAGCCGTTCGATCTGTTCGGAATGCTGTCTGCGCCCGCTGCGCAGTCCTCGGCGTGCCTTCCCAGGGGTGGTCCCATTGCTGGGATGGTCCCGTCAACGTCGGAGTCGGCGTGGTCGGTCGGTCGCACGCAGCTGGCGTGAGGGTCCACCTGATAGGGAGGACCCAGCGCGGGAACAACAGGAGGCCCAGGAGGGTCGAAGTCGTCTCCGTTAGTGGTCACAGCCTCTGAGCCTCTCTCTAAGTCCATTGGCGCTGTCTCTGGATCTCGAGCTGAAGGCTCGTTACTCCTGTGATTACCAGATACGCCTTGGACCCTCGAGCTGAAGGCTCGTTCCGCGTGAGAATCTCGAGCTGAAGGCTCGTCACATCCGCGACTGTCCGACTGGGGGGCGGGTGGCTGACGAAAGTCTTCCGGGTTGCAGGAGTGCCGAGGGAGTTGACTGGTCGTTGCATCGCCGTCGGCGCCGAACAGTCCGCTTGGGGCGCCCCAAGCTGCAGGATCGTTCGATGCTGCCGTCTCGTTGGGAGCTCCTCGGGCTGAAGGCCCACTCTCTGCGTGCGCAGTGCTGTCAACTCCAGGAAGGGCGGTGGGCGCGCGGCGACTCCCGTCGCCGCTCGTGGCCGCATGCCCAGCGGCACTCACAGCCTCTGAGCCTCTCACTAAGTCCATTGGCACTGTCTCTGGATCTCGAGCTGAAGGCTCGTTACTCCTGTGATTACCAGATACGCCTTGGACCCTCGAGCTGAAGGCTCGTTCCGCGTGAGAATCTCGAGCTGAAGGCTCGTCACATCCGCGACTGTCCGACTGGGGGGCGGGTGGCTGACGAAAGTCTTCGGGGTTGCAGGAGTGCCCAGGGAGTTGACTGGTCGTTGCATCGCCGTCGGCGCCGAACAGTCCGCTTGGGGCGTCCCAAGCTGCAGGATCGCTCGATGCTGCCGTCTCGTTGGGAGCTCCTCGGGCTGAAGGCCCATTCTCTGCGTGCGCAGTGCTGTCAACTCCAGGAAGGGCGGTGGGCGCGCGGCGACTCCCGTCGCCGCTCGTGGCCACATGCCCAACGGCACTCACAGCCTCTGAGCCTCTAAGTCCCATGGCACTGCCTCTGGATCTCGAGCTGAAGGCTCGTCACTTCTGTGATTGCCGGATGCGCCTTGGACCCTCGAGCTGACGGCTCGTCCCGCGTGAGAATCTCGAGCTGAAGGCTCGTCGCATCCGCGACTGTCCGACTGGGGGGCGGGTGGCTGACGAAAGTCTTCCGGGTTACGGGAGTGCCCAGGGAGTTGACTGGTCGTTGCATCGCCGTCGGCGCCGAACAGTCCGCTTGGGGCGTCCCAAGCTGCAGGATCGTTCGATGCTGCCGTCTCGTTGGGAGCTCCTCGGGCTGAAGGCCCACTCTCTGCGTGCGCAGTGCTGTCAACTCCAGGAAGGGCGGTGGGCGCGCGGCGACTCCCGTCGCCTCTCGTGGCCACGTGCCCAGCGGCACTGGGCGCGTCCAAGGGAGGGTGGTCGGCGGAGTGTGGGCGTGAGCCAATGGGATGTGGATCGGGGGCGTGGGCGGAATCGCACTGCGCTCCCTGGGCTGAAGGCCCGTCTCTGTCGGGGGGAGGCTGGTCTCCAACCGCGGGCTCTTCCTCAGCAGCCCTCCCACCTGTCGCCGCGATACTGTTGTCAGGGGGGAGCAATGGGGTGTAAGATGGTGGCCGACAGCCCCGGCGACTGGCAATGTGATAGCTTGAGCTCGTGCCACGCGCTGATAGGAATGAGGAGCTGTACCTCGACTGTCCGACTGGGGGGCGGGTGGCTGACGAAAGTCTTCAGGGTTACAGGAACGCCCAGGGAGTTGACTGGTCGTTGCATCGCCGTCGGCGCCGAACTGTCCGCTTTGGGCGTCCCAAGCTGCAGGGTCGCTCAGAGCTGCTGCCTCGCTGGGAGCTCCTCGGGCTTAAGGCCCATTCTCTACGTGCGCAGTGCTGTGAACTCCAGGAAGGGCGGCGGGCGCGCGGCGACTCCCGTCGCCGCTCGTGGCCACGTGCCCAGCGGCGCCCCCGACAACCGTTGGTGCCGCCTCCGATTCTCGAGCTGAGGGCTCTTCACCTCTGTGGTTGCTCGATGTGTCTTGGGGCCTCGAGCCGAAGACTCGTTCGGGCGTCTGGTCAGGCTGCCCAGGGAGCTGATTGGCTGAAGTTTCTGGTTCTCGAGCTGAAGGCTCGCCCTCTCTGAAGCTGTGAGATATGCCTATCGAGACTCCACCATCCGTTCGGGGAGGCGTCGTTGACCTCTTGTCGGGAGGAAACTGGTCT